GGATTATTCAAGTATAGTTATTTGTACTGTCTATCATAATGTAACCATTTCATACAGATGTTAAATACTACTAAAAATATGACCTGTTCTCGAGTTGCTGAAAAATCTTAAAAGGTCTTTGCTTAGAAATTTGCTTTGCATATTCGAAAATTGCTTTTCGTTACTCAACACCTCAGTTATAGCACATATACTTTTAATCATTGCCTTGCAACTCCACTTTTTGGGAATTCAATGGTTTATAAAAATTGGTTAAAATACGGTATATTATTCCAATATTTTTCTCATTTTGTAAATATCAGGATCAAAAAAGTTAGCAAGTCTATCAGTCAATTGTAAAAAGTTGACATTTGTTGTATTCAGTGATCTTAGATGAACATGCTATTTCAGATAGTAATATAATCTTTTCCTCTCGTATATCTTCCATATGCTCTATCATGTTCATTAGTTTTTAGCTTGTTATATTCACTTGCCACTTATACACTTTTACACACAGTCCAAAATTTTGGGGAAAAAAAAGGTACAAGTTAATTCATGAATTCTTGTCTTGGTAGGTAGTATGTCATTTTTACTGAACTATTTTATCAGTTTGAATAATTCCATCTGTGATTATGTATTTTAGGCTTCAGTTCCAAGCGAATCATGAAACTGGTGATACACCTGACTTATATCATGATAGCGATGTGTGTAGTCTCAGTGGTTTGTTTATACCATCAGCTATTCTTTCCACTAATTTTTCTACAAGGAGTTATTACGGAAAGCCCTCATTTATATTATTCATATTTGCAAGCTATGTTCTCTTTATATATGGTGCATAACATATTACAAATAGATTATGACAATTTAGCATCAAAAAAAAAATCCTTTTGCTACTTATTTATTTGAATTTGGAATGACCAAGGACTTCCCGCTTTATGTCTCATTTTTCTGTTTGATATATCATTGTATTTGAAAATTCTAGCGCAAATGCCACAAATTTTTTTTGATTGAATCATTATCAAGTCTTTCATCCGCCTATACAAACTAGTATTTAGTATATTGTATTTTCTTTCGATAAAGAATCGTCTAATTTCGTTAGATCTGGTTCTTAAAACATGTGATGCTTTTCATAAAGCTTTATAGACGACGTGATTAGTCTGGATGAGTTTTCGATGACTAGTGATTCAAGTGATTTAAAGACAACAGATTTTACTGATGATACAGACGAGGATCGATTAAAGCAAAACGAAGAAGTAGCTATAAATTACAATAACAGCACAAAGAAATGGTCATGCAAGTATGCTTCCATTTATTTTGGTGTTTATCAAACCTGCTACTTACTTTCATGATCTCATTTCTTTCAGAATTACCATTCCTACCATTTTACGACGTTTTGTAATTGGACCAAAAGAGTCTATAAAGCGAAAAATTGAAACAGAAACAAGTTGTCAAATAAACTTTCCAAAAAAGAAGAAAAAGAGTACGGCAGGTATGTGTTGTTAGTTTTATTTAACCATTATTTGGCGAATTTTGTATCGGAAATTCTTAACAAATATTTTTTTGGAACTTTTGTCGGGGCTAAATATATTTCATGTACAGATATATAAAAATAGAACAAATGTCGTTCCTTACATTGCAGTTTTAGTATAGTAAATCTTATCTTTGCATTACTAAATAATAATTTATCTTCAGCATTATCTTAACTTCCTTTATTTGTAGTTTGATTGAAGTTCGTGGTGGAGATTTCGTTTTCCTTTCATGCTATTTTTTTCGTTTGTAAAATTTGTGGAAAGGAAAATGTAGAAATAAGCTTTAGATTTATTCAAGCAGTGAATTGCTTTTCAGTGTTTCATTTGTAGAAATAGTATCAATAGTATCAGAAGAAAGTATCATGCGTTGCCGTGATAGAATCCAGCTCATTATGTATGAAGCACGGGATAAAGCTGCTTTTACTCATTTTATATCGATTCCTATGACACATGAAATAATCAAGGAAAATTTCACCAAGTTCATTGATATGATTAAAAATGATTACGAACTATCGGTAAATTCTGTGCTAATTTTTTCGTATTGCATTTTCCTGCTTTTTAACATTTTCTTTATCCAAAATTCTGTCTTGAAGCATTTGCTATAATTTGATTTACTTTCATAAATCAGGTATTACGAAGAATTTGCAGAAGTAACTCTACTGCCTATGCAATGCTTATGGCATTGGTAGTGTAGAAAAAGTCCCACTGCAATTTGTTTTTGCCTTTATTTTGTAGGATTCCTGCCGAGTAGAAAGCATATTCCAAGATCCGAAAAAGTTACATTTAACTATTACAATGCTCTCGTTGATTGACAGTAATGAGGAGAAGTTGGTGTCGAGTTGTCTCGCAGCAGTCATTGATAGTCGTGTTCGGTATAATTTTAATCACTATTTCATTTGCATAGGCAAGTGAGAAATATTGTACTCATATGTTTTCGAGACCTGCTCCCATATCTTAAGTAATCTAAGTATTGTAATATGCAATTATATCAGTAGTTCATTTGTAGCTATCGAAAGATATAAGGAATCATTTTGCTACACTTTTAATTTCTCAAATGTATTTGACGTTTAACACTCATACATCATGAATTCTAATTTTTCATACCTCGCTTTCTGATTAATAATTTCTCAAATTCAGCAAAATCATAGACCATGAACCTATAGAAGCAGAAGTGAGTGGATTGGAAATCATGAATGATGATCCATCCCGAGCTCAAGTTTTATACGCGCGGATTTCATCAGAAAAGTTTGCCTTATTTTGTACTTTAATTTGATTTTCTTACATATCATCGTTTTTCCAGCAAATATATTTCTGAAATATCTACCAATTTTTGCAGACTGTTGCATGTTGGAAATATTTTATCAGAAGCAATGAATGATGCTGGTTTCATTCCGGAACAAGAATCTGTGAAGTTACACTTGACTCTAATGAATACCAGATATATGGTTAGTGGTTTAAAATAAAATGCCTTATGAATAGAACAAAAGACCTCATAACTCTTATTTTGCTTTACTATCACGATTTTTTCATGTAGTGGGAGAAAGAAAAAAAGAAAGGAAGAATGGATGTAACGCAGTTGCTAGAAAAATATGGTGATTATAAATTCGGAAAAGTTACAATATCAGAAGTAAGTTACATTTATAGTGAATAATCCTCTGTTGTTTGTTTGGTTATTTATAGATACATCAAATTCCTCAAGCAAAAAATGATTGTAAAGAAGCTGCATTGTCTTTCATTCAAATAGAACTCCGCTTATTAGATGTCAGTAATTCCACATAATTACTGACTTTACACTTTTCATAGTCTTGAAAATCGTTACTCTGCTAATTGTTTCTCGCATCATTAGTTACGTGTGTTTGTGTGATATCCAAAGAATCACTTTTTATGCAACAAAGGTACGATCAAATTTATTAGACCAAATTTTAGCTACTAAAGTGAATTACATATTTAATGACATTCGATGTAACTAGTTCTTTTCAGATTCATGTATCGAACTTAAGAGGATCGAAAGACACAAGTGGTTACTATATTCCAAGTGCAGTTTTCACTTTAAATTATACACAGAGTGTGTGAATCCTCATTAGATATTTGCCCACATTGCCACATCTATGGAATATTATTACTGGACCACGAATTTATTAAACATAAAGAGAGCAAAATCTGTTGCAATTCAATTTAGTTCTTCTGCTTTAATCAATAATACGAATTTATTAAATGCACATTTTTTATATCCATGTTCCTTTTTAGCTTCTATTTAACTCAAAAACTAATGGTAAAACCAAAATCCTTTCATCGTAATGGCTTCGCGTGAAAAAAATAAAATTTTTTATTGTTGTGAAGAGCGCAACGATATAATAATAACTAGCGTCCACCTTATCTGAAAGAATTGTAATGCACCCAAAAGACGAAATATTGGAGGAAATTAGTCTCGAAAAGATGTTACGAAATTCAGTAAGGACAAAATTTACTAAGCATTTTCGACATTCAGTAACGCGAGGTGACGGATTACAATTCCCTTTACATGAGTTCAAGACAAAACATTTCCATTGCGAATCACTATACAAGATCCACCTGATGTCAAAAAGACATTTTCGTATGCAATCCAAAAATTGAGAGTAGGACACGCAATGAAAAGGGGACGTATGGGAAATCATTCCACATCGTAGTATTTCTTAAATAATTCCTGTGCAGCATTGCCCTGTTGCTTATAAAAAAGCAAGTAAGCGTCTTCACTCTGAACACGTGAAAGTTGAGTCCGTGTAACTGCTGCATCATCAAAAGTACGCCAATCTGCAAGATATGCATAAGAATATCTAGTTCCAGATAATTTCGAATCTTTGCTTGCAATTATAAGAAGGACAACTCAAATAAATTACCGATTTCAGTCGTCTTGCCATCAATACTTAGCAATCTGGCTAGCGATATGTAGTGACCAAAGTAGCTACTACCAGAGTGGCACACGACACCGATTAAATCATACTTTGTCTCCTAAATAACGTAGAACATATAAGCACATAATTCACATAAAAAAGGAAGTGAAATTTGATTGTTCAGTTACATGAATGCAAATATATATATGCTATCCAAATTTAAAACCTGTCCAGATGGGGCTGTCTCGGCTAGAAAAGGCGATAGGTCAAGGTTATCAATAGGATATTGCACCCGACGATCATCTTTAGAACGACGATTCAGTGCCATCATCGTTGATGAGTAAATGAAACGTTTTAACTGTATGATCAAGATAGGAGGTAAGCGATAAAGAACTAGCTGTTTCGAAGCCTCCACATGTCTTTTACATTTACTACAATACCTGAAAAAAAAGTATAGAGTCTGTCTTCATTGCTCTAGTCTGTTTCAACGACTAGCTAAGAAATTCTATAATAAATCACAAAGGTTTATGCAGTGATTCATTTCCTTTCATAAAGTAACTGAGTCAGGACTTGTTTACATCAATTTAAAGACCAAACTATAAAGCTATTATTTGAAGCAATTTGTTAAATTTTTTGGTACTAAGATGATTCTAATGACTTGCCATGATTCCTCCGGTTTAAGACGCTCTGTCTCCGAGAACATTGCCAACATGTCGTACAAGGATGGTACTGAAGCTATACAGCTTTTGCTTTGCATGGATTCTGACATCCTCTGATAATGAATCGACTTGTCCAAATCAACATCCTTAATTATAACTATTGAATACTAGTAATTTCGGTATGAGATCGAAAAAGTTATGAAAAGAGACTGCATTCACATACACTATATATAACTTACAAGTTGGTCTTTTGTTTCGACAGTCAAGTATTCTTTACCACATTTCAAATTCCACCAGTTGATAGACAGAAATGTACCATTTGGCAAATCCAAAGGTGCTAAATTGCATACACATTTATTTTCTGACATATAAAAACAAAATCTGTCCTCCTCATAATGATGAAATTCAAAATTCTTTAAGCCACTCTAAATAATAAACACATATTAATGAACTTCTATCATAAATTTGGCCTGAAAGAATTTGGAAATAAACCTGAGAGCAATTACAAATGAAATTATGGAAGAGTTAGGAAATTTATTAAAAATACAAGTGAAAACAGACATCCATAAACAAAACTAACCATCTGAATGCGGGTCTACTAACGTGTCACCAGTTACTGTCTCTGCATGTTGCAATTTACGCACCACAAAGAGTTTAGCGTCTGTTCGTGATTTATTGCGTGGTTCACCAAAAACCATTTGTCTTTTCGCCGCAACAGGAGTCACCTCATTCTGATATAGATATGTAAAAATAAGACGCATGCAAAAATTGACTAGCATCTTCATTTTGCCATAATTATGAATGAAGCATCTTTTGTGTCTTACTACTCAAATTTTAGGATACCATGAATACCACCAGGTAAATCATTATTCATTTGAATTGTACTTTCGTATACAACGAGAATAATTGGAAATACGATATGTCCTGACTCATTAACTACGAGTAAATTAAATTTAAATCACATATTTTTCAGAAAATAACAATGTGCATAAGTACCGAAGAATCTTCATTATTAGCATTACAAGCGGATATTGAGGAAGGTGGGCTCAAATCCACGAATGATTCACGAGAAGATCCTACCGAATCACTGGATGCATCGTTATTTTCAACAGGTGGTTGAAATACATTGACAGAAAGTCTGGAAAATTTTGGTTATAAACAGAATTATAGAAATGAAGGGAATAGTTTTCCAGATATATTTTAAATCTATAGTTCCCGAAAAAAATGAAGATTCTGAGTTGCATCTTAAAATATTAATTTTTCACAGATAAAAAATGAATCATTTAAAAATCAAGAACCAAAAATTTCGAAGTCGGTGAATGGAGCAAATTCAGTATTATTTATAAAAACTGGCAATACAGAAAAGTGTAAGAGAAAAATTAAATTAAAACTAACTTGCAACGACTTTCTAAATTTCGCATAATATTTGCATAGGTGGCTCGCTTCTTGGGTAATGAGATGATAAATGGTAGCCCAACTGCTTCTACTTGGCTTCGTGATCTGCAGCTTATTTTATGCTCTTGCCAATCTGCTATCTGACACTGCCTGAAACACAATAATTTGTATTTTGAAATATGATTCAAGTAAATGTACATTTATTGAACAAGACCCAAATAAAATGAAAAGTAACCACTACATATTTTTATAGAATCTTTCCTACATAAGAAATAAAGAAAATCTAATAAATCAAAATTGTAAACAACCATGGACATTACTGACAACTCTGCTCCGAATTATAGAGAAAAAAAGCAAACCGGTTGCAATAGAAAGCATCAAAACAGCGATCACAAGTTTTTAATTTTACGTCCGAAGCATGGCAGTAGATACAGGCTCGTTCAATGTCTTTGCGATAAAGAAGACGCTGAACAACCGCAAATTCAAGGACTTCATCATTGCAGTCATAAGGAACGTGGACTTGAAACCTAGAACTTACTTTCAATAGAATAACACATCTTCAAGTTCATGAATGATTTCAAAAAAGAGATCAAGTTAAAAAATCACCTTGTGTAAGCTTTTTTTTAAAACTACTGATAGAAATCTCACTTAGGATGAAAACATGAAGCATCTGTGCAGAAAATATAGATCATTTCTAGCTACAATAATACATTGAAATCATAAACATATTGAAGTTCTTGACTGAACACAAATAATTTGTTGAAAATCCAGTAATCCACTCAAATTCCTACAATGAAAACAAGAACAAGAACAATGAATATATACTCACACGTGTACTGCATTCATAGAAGGTATGTTGTTAACACTGTCATTCAGATCAAATACGCGAGTAATTCTATGGTCGTTGACTTTAATCACGCGCATCTGTAGAAAGACAATAAGATACGCAAGTAATTTTATAGTCTCGACTAGAAAACAAAAAAATAACTAAAAGTTAAAACTATTTAAATCTCATATAAATTTAAAAGACATCTGAAACAATACTTACAGCGTTAGGATTCACATTAACTAGTCGAGATAATGCATCTAACATTTCTAAAACCTTCCCATCCGCATTATACCGTATTGCTATCTGCAAATATCACGAAATAATGCTTCAATTTATTAAATGAAACGAAAAAAAAAGTCATCAACAACGATAAAAAATATTGATGATATCAATAAAAGCAAACATGAAACTTGAAAATGAACTGAAACACAAGAATTACAGTGTCAAGGCGATAAAACGTGGTACCTGAACTGGCTTCAAACATGGATCAAGAGGCCAAAAATATACAACAGAAGAACGTTTTTCCTTTGGGAATGGAACAGCTAAGTAAACGAACGGGTCAAATGTTATAGATATCTGTAAGAAATGATTAAAAACAACGCAAACAAAAATGAAGAGTTAAAATGTTTTGCAAGAAGAATAAAAAGTACTGAATTACCAAAGACTTCAATTTTTGAAACATGTATTGATCAGAAGCAACAAACTGGAGCCAGTACGGTTAAAATCAATTTTAGTTCTTTACCTGATAACAGTTCGGACACTGCAGCCTCGATTTCAACTGTCCGTGAAAGAGATCCACAAAAATCGAGTCATTGCGCATAAGATAATTTTGCCAAGCTTCTTTTGAAACCTTAAATATAATAAAAATTCATTCAAACTAGTTTTTTGCACTCTGAGATGTCTCGTACCTCTATATCTGGTCGGCCTTCAACTTCAACTACACTTGTTGTAGGTTTCGACCGCACTCGATTCAAATCTTCATGTAATCCGTCTAATACAAAACTCAAAAACTCATGAGCATCATGCTGAGCAAAATTAGCGAACTGAGCTGCTTTCTCGGCTACCAAATCCTGCAATACATTTTATGATTTTCAATATATAAAATGTTCAAATGGAATAAATCCTACGCTTTGACCGATTAATAAACGGCGAAATCTGTTAACGGAAATCTTATATATGCACCTTTATTTTAGTGGGCTCATACATACGATTCATCCCATTCCACATCTGGATCATAAACTCTCCGAAAACCTCAGCCAGTCGACCACCAAAACCAAGTGGATTCAGCACATTGATGTCTTTTTTGTAGTGACATTCTCAAATGGAATATTCTTAATACATAGATCACGGGATATAATTATTGAACAGATTAAGCAATAATATGCCCAAATTTGCTCCTCAATCCATTCACACAATAATAGGTTTTCGATATCAACACAATCAATCACAAAATGCAAAACCTCTACGAAACTGCATTATTTTTAACAAAATATCTTTCTAGACAACTTAGTGCGAAAGTAGCGGAAATAAGTACAAATATACGAATCAACAACAGTAAATAATAAAAATTTCAGGGACAGAATTTACTATTAAAGTATATTTGGAGCTCCTTGCAGTTGACGAGCATCTGCAGGATTGAATTCATGAAACAGGAATTTCCAATATTACGTAAACCAGTAAAGCCAACACCAACAACTGTTCCTTGTTCATCATATGGTAATACCTTAAAATAAAGCTTTATCAGCTAACAGATATATTTAATCACTTTGATACAACACGGAAATTAATGTGCAAAAATCATTGTTATTTTAAAAATGAATGTTTAGCAGTTTTTACTTAACTTCAAGATATGCTTGAGAAAAAGACATAAGAACTACAGTACTGCGACTTCATCTTTCTAGACAGAATATGCGGGTTTTCTGTGAAATGTAATGAATTATTCTTAACCTTGGCAGTTGGACGGCCTGAGGATGATAGAGTAGGAGAAACAGAGGATTTTAACGCTGAGATCCCTGAAAATGGTCCATCACTTCCTGAACTATGAGCTATGTTTGACGCTGAGAAATTGGAGGAGCACAACGACGAAGATGACCTAGAAAATATTTTCAAAATCTTAATATGTACGTATGAATTCACATATCGTATTATACTTTGCAGACAAGTAAAGGAAGTTCTCAGCGACGGTGCGAGGAGATGAGCGCTCCGTATTTTTTCTGCAAGTTTACAGTAATATTAGAAATGACCAAATCTGTAACCTGCGTAAGACTGAACTTGTCGAACGCGACCTCATCGTTGAAGGGTAATCTGAATCGATGAAATTTTGCGGTGAATATGGATATCGACTTGTTGGATAGTAGGAGGTACGTTGGTATTTGGAGATATGTGAAGAACCCGAGCTGGAAGATTGCGCTGCTGCACAGGCGTTCCATCTTTCAGCAACAGTATTGGTGTATCGATAAGCTACGCTCGGACGTCTAGAAAATTTTAAATTGATGAAAGCAGGAAATATCATAAAAAGAAGTTTGTCGAATTGCGCGGACGGTCACGCAATCCAAAAGAATGAAATCTTGAAAAATTGTGAATGCTAACGGAGGATGTGAACGAGCTGTAGTCGAGGACCGTACAGTCAAGGCACTTGTATTGGATGAATTACATTGTAGTAGGCCCGAAGTCCATTGCTTTGGATCTCTTTTTTTCAACACATATTCCCGATCATCAGAACGCATCTGGCACTCCTCTGGTACTATATCGTCTGCAAGCTCTGCATGCCAAAGAAGTTGTGTTGATTTGTCACATCCATACTTGCGCAAAATTGGGTCTCTGTCTGACCTACAAAATAAACATATAAAATATTCACAGACCTAAATTACTTTAATTATTCATGTTTTATGAACAATAATATGTAAAACTATTCCAAATATAGTCACTAAAAGTTATTCTGCCGTAACTTATTTCAGTTATAATGCTTTACGAATCAGTACGCACAGGAATCATAGTCGAAAAAGTATAATTATTAATTTCGAAAAGACAAACGACTTACAAGCAGTGAAATTCGATCTGCAATGAACGTTCATGAAAAGTGACAATGTCGACATTAATATCCTTGTGAGTTATACGAACAACATGTAAATCTGATGACAATTTGTAATCCCCATATTTAAGGGAATCTGGAAAATTTCGAGAGTAGGTTCTACAAGATCAAACCACTAGATAACTGCTGACAAAAATTTCATATACTTATTTGAAATACAGTACAGTGAGTGGAGAAACCGACAAGAAAATTGATTGATTTAAAAAATTTAAAAGAATAAGCATCAGGAAAAGACATTTCATACGATGCATAGTGGTAATTTATCTATGAAATCACTAAGAACTCCAAAACAAATTTTTAATCATCATCACTCATTACTCATTCAAAGTATGCTTTCAATGAGCAAGGAATGACTGATTATGATAAACATGACCGGCAAAAATGTGCTGTTAACAATAATGCGAACAGGATTTGAATGAAGGTAACACATGAATAGCTCCCACTAACGAAATTAAATTAGATGGTGAAACTATTAACTTCACTTGAGCATGATCACTATACTAATTAAGTCAGGATATAAAAATTCATGACGTGTGGATTAAGATATCTTATAATTATTCTAAATCAGCTGAAATCACAACACTTTGAAATTAGCCATCTGCTCTCAAATAAAAGATTGAACAAATCAAGGATAGGCGAAAAAACTTGCATTAAATTCGTACGATACTAATGAAACACACAAAATCACTTAATAGTCATCGAGAGAAAGGGAGATGCAGATTCAAGATTCAGAAATGCCAAAAACAACTATCTTTTTCAGATATGATCTTCAGTCATCATGGGTTACAATGACAGTCGAAGCCAAATTGATAAAAAGCAAAACTCTTGAGCACGATCACTTCATCAATACATGAAAGAGTAAACAAAATAGGCCAGAAATTATCCCGTATTTTTGCATCAACTTTTACAAACATGACATATACACGTTCAGCGTTAAAAGATTTTTATTTCCCTCTGTCCTTCCTCCCGTTTACTTTTTGTTTTCGCTGGCAGTAAGTACAACAAATAAAGAAATGGTGCTAGCTGTAAAGTAGTCTAAGCATGTAGCTGTAAACAAACTTTGGCATGCATTAAACAGGATAATTTGGAAAAAAAGATACCAAAAGACAGAAAAAAAATAGAAATATATGTTATGCATCTTCCATATTATCCCAATATTGCCAATCAATAAATGCTAAAAACATGAAGTACAGAAAGTTTTGAAATTACAACTGTTCGGCGAAGTATTTATCAACGATGATACCACAAGCGCTACTCAAACAATAAATGATAAGAGAACGAAATTAGGAACGTTACAGAATGATAAAGTGCAGTAAATGATAAATGCAACAGATGAGCTTTTAAATGAAACTAAGCTAAGCTGAACTATGCTCAGTCTAGTAATAATGAAGTAAAATGAAGCTAAAAAAGTTCCATTTCCCAAATACTAAACTAAAGCTTGCCAGTTATAAGTATGCAATCCAATCTGTTTTATCTCATTTTATCTAAAAAACCACTTTATCTGCGTATTCCTAAACCCACACTTCTCCATGATCAGCAATGTGCAGATTAAAATGCATTCTCTGAACCAATCGTATCAAAGTTTAATCAGCACACAAATAAATTTTGCATCCTGCTACAAAACATTCATAAATTTCATCTGTCATATATTCTCGATGCTCCCTAGCAAAAGCACGGTGCATTTGCAACACACCGAGGCAGAACTTGCTTTTTCCTATTCAATATAGAGCCATTATAACTGTTTCTGTAATACTATATCCCCATCACTCATTTGTAATGATAGGTGGTGAAGTTAAAAAATATTTCGGAATTACATATTCTTGACTTCAGATGACGGTAAACGAGGAACGACAAATAGTAGTAGATTTAAATTAACAGATTTTACTTTTTCAAAGCTAGAGACAACTACTGAAGTAGTCAGCTCATGACAATTTATATTCCAATCAATCATATACTATTTCATTTTTCATCAAATTCGATGCTTCGTGTTTTTAAGTTACGATAAACAGTGTACTGAGTAAAGAACGACAAAGCAAAAAATGACTACCATTACTAAAAAACTCCTTCAGCATCACGTCAGTATAAATAATTACCACCTAATACTTCCCCTTTCAAGCATTATAGCTTGTCAACAGTAATACGTTCTTTTCAGAAGAAGTAACGAAGCAATTATTTTAAGTTATAAAAGCAATAATTAAAATTTAATTAAACAAAGAGAAACGACAGAATTACTTAGCAAGAGAAACGGGTAGTGCATCGTGGAAAACAGCAACAATTCCAATTCCTGCAGCACTCATGAAGTGATGTTGAAGTGATAAGTGAAAAACGAAAGAAACATAATATAAAATATATCACTGCTTACAGTCGTAAATGGAGTAATGAACATAACGTATGAATAGTGAAGCTCAAATAAAAATAGACCAAATCCTATAGAATTCTCACTTGCTACCACAAACTAATAAAAATAGTACGCAACAAAGCAGGAAAACTGGTTCTTCTTGTTCAGTTATAGATATTTGCTGAGCGTTTACCCTAGCATAGATATAAAAGTAAAGTAGGTGATGCGGTAGCATGATAGTAAACCAAGAGGAACCAAAAATGAAAATCCTAAAGAGTACTATCAGGATAAAAATGCATAATTTTTGATGCAAACGATGTAAACAGACAATGGAAGAAACTATGAGCAACGACTGCTTACATCGATGCACGCGAGCATGTACGCATGCAGGCAGTATGAAATGAAGTGCATTGAATCCGGATAGAAATCTGCAAATCATCTACTTTTTCCCATACTCCTTCAGTGCCACAGCAACAACACACGTTTCAAGCATTCTGTACAGGTAGTGAATTACGAAGAGAGTGAACTAAAATAAGGGAGGAAGATAGCGAAGGGCGAAAATATGAATGGATATGTATGCTTGTGTAAAGCATCGACGTCCAGAGATCTCGAGTTTACGCTACAATTTCAGTCTTAGCTCGAGCACCATCCAACTTAAATCTCTTTCATTACTACGCATTAAGATACACTCGCCGAATACATATTATTCCAAATACAAATTCCAAAACCTCTCTACTTCTCTCTTTTTCGCATCTCCTAAAAACCCTCCCTTTACAAATTTGCCCATATTTTTTTCATTTCTTATTTTCATAAGTGAGAATGAACAAACTATTGCCTGCAATATAACACTGCCCTTGAATGACTACATCAAATACCTTTCGTCTACAAGAACATGTCCGCTCACTAAACTGCATAAAATGCCTCACTCTAATGTACGATAATATCACGAGAAAATTGCCTAATAAACTATAAAACCACACTCTCTGTTTCCTTTTCTTTCTCTCCATGTGTGATAGTGTGATAAAATGCTAAGCACCACTCAAACCCTCGCACTCTTTCTTTATCCCTGATATTCATTTTACTCGCCTTTTTAAAACTTTACGTATTCGACTCCCAACACCACAGTAACTAAGAACGTCATCATGAAATAAACCAGATTGAAAGAGACAAAAGAACAAGACAATGCAATTACGACGTAACGCTAAATTGTGAAAATGAAGATAACACGACAATAAAAAAAGTCAGATTAATGCATAAACAACTTCATTTCAGACAGATTACTTTTAATATCTTTTAATAGTAACGAACTAGTGTAACACGTGTACTTTCAATGAATACTAGTCACTAGAGCTAAGATAGTGTAGTCCTAACAGCCCCATTACTCTGACAGCATCTACTCAATTTTGTTCGTCTCTAAACAACAAAGTTTAGTAAGCTAAATTTTTCATTACTAAATTTTTGGTATTTTTTAATGAAAAAGTAAAAAAAGAACTTAAATGATTTTCATACATCTCCCTTTCATAAGTGCTTTAAACGTCACATGTATTTTGTCTGAAATATCACCTACTTCACTACCCTTCCAGCGTTATCCTCAAATAAGTAGTTTCTTCAAATCCAATTCTACTACAATATACAACACTTGAACAGATGAGAAATACATAAGGAAGTCACCCATATACGAATGACTTTGAAATCAAAATTTTGAGATATTTCAATATTTTCAATGAAAAAAGTAAAAATATTTAGAGTATGATGCACTTACCGAGTGATATAATACGAAAATCGGATTCTCGATAACAATCCACGCCTAGGAATTCTGGAATTAATCAATCCAATCTTGAAACTAACGTGTCACTAATTAATAAGGGTAAAAAAATCTGATTAAACCTTTATAATACTCTAAACAAGTCCTGTCTATTTTCGGATCCAAGAAATAGCTTTAACATGACGTAAAATTAACTGGAACAAAGTCGTTATTGGAAATTCTACGTCAAATTTCAGACTAATTTCATTTCAGAGAATTAATTTTAGTTTTTAAAACCAGACACACTGATATCATACTTTAAATTTCGAAATAGCGTGGACCTCATGTTGAAGAACCCAGCTTGTGAGATAAAACAATTCAACAACCTGATTTCTAAATGTTTTTATATAATTATAGAGCTGTGATAACTGATAAATTCAAACCATCATCATCGCTATGGCCATGAACAGAAGAAAAAGGTTCCATAAATTCATCCTTTTCAGTCTTAGCATCACAGATATTTGCATTAGCAATATCATCTTCATCAGTTCCCAAAGGATTGATATGTTCCATTTCAGCTAACCTTCTTCGCAATTCCTGAACCAAATTTCCTGTAAAAAAATGTTCGTTAACTCCAATTACAGCAATAAAAAATGTAACAAACAAATGTTCCACAACATTTATACAACGTTAGTTACCAAATGGACTTTACTTCAAGCTATTTTATCACAATCCTTAATGATTTGTAAATATGTCTTGCATCGTTTTTATTTCATTACTGCAAAAATGAATTGACAGCATGACGTGATGCATTCTCTCCTAATAGTAAAAAAAACTTCAACCCCTTCAACTCCTTGCCTAATGATATCACGTTTTCATGCTTTAAGTAGCACATGACCTCTAATAAATAAAAACAGTACAAAACTGATAATATATGAATACCTAAATACGACAAAACCAAGAGCATGAAACAGAAAACGAAGTGAAACTTTGAATTAAACAAATCAAAACCAAATCGGTGATAAATGACAGCAGCACAAAAACAATGCTAAAAATCTCATTAACAATCGGGGATGGGGTCTTGGCACGAACATCTGTGATTGTATGCGTTCTAGAAGTAATATAATGACAACCTTATTAGAACTGGCAACTTGACAAATCATCAACTATTGATTAAAGGCAGGATACTTGTATCGTAATAAAGCAGACCACAAGTTGCCTAGTCAATAATTTTTAAAAGGTGTCTCTTGATGTCAATCAATACGTGAAATGTGAAAATCTCTGACCATTAATAGTGATAATGACACGATAGGCTCAAAATTTGAGCTCTCGCTACTTCACCCAAAAAACAGCCCCACAATAAATACCTGCAACCTCATCCGACCACATCCCTGTATAACACTGGCTGGCAAATGACTACTGAGCGACGAGATAGGAGTACTTTAATTACATTAATCCTAGATAATTTGCATATGCAAATTTGACATTTGTACTTTGAATGCCCTTACCTCATTCATCAAAAAGGCATCAATTACATACATACAGACATCAAGAGAACTATCAATGTCAGTTCCTATTCTGATGATTTGCATAAGAAAATCGCTGCACATTAACCAAACATCTGTGGAAGTTTAAAACTATTTTCCCTTACTACACAAATTAATTAAGGAGAACCATATTAGAAGGAATGATAACGATACATATAATAATTGTTGCTTGCCCCCTGTTGAGAAACTGAACGGTTTAATTGTACTGTGATGCAGAAAATGGGGCATGAAGAGAGAAAAACAGCATCTGAAACTGTAACAGGAAACAGTGGGAAAACAGATGAAGTTGTAAAAAGCCCTGCCAGTATACCAGAACCAGGTAACAGCAACTAGAACTCACTCGTCTGTGGAATCGAGCAACTTCTGAGATCATTAGTCAGTAGTATTGCAGGTCGTTTACGCCCGCAGACGTGGTTTTCATGGAGTCAGCGAAGCGTGTAAACACACATTACACCCATTCTGAGTGAAATACGCTACACTTAACAGCTTACAGCTTATCTAGATACAACCAGAAATACTTGACTCGAATGCAAAACACGCACAAACGTGAAATAGACCAGGCAGAAAACTATCTCACAAAACGTAGACTCGCTTAAACTTGGAGCAGTGACCATGCCACACAGAATCCCCCATTCCACCAAAACCTTCACAAGAGGAAGTTTGGCCGGAGAAGAACTCGAAGATAAACCTAAGGGAAGCCAAGAAGTGCAGGAGAGGCATGAATCTCAAACTTGCTTTTAAGCGTGACAAACATGGAACTTTAAACTTGTTGACGGGGCATGTGAGATTTTCTGAAATAAATCTGAACTGTTCTATAGGAATCTGACCGAGCAACAGCTTATCAGCCAGAAAGTAGTAAAGGCAACGATTTCAGGCCAATATCTTGTGTCAAACCTTTACAAGTTGACAACGCAATGTGTGGTACGTGTCATGCAGTTGGATGTTGCTACGAAAAGGTGGCTACTTGCAGATGTAATTAGGAACTGTTGATTAGGTTCAAGGCGCGAAAGAGCAAATACTGCATAACATGGTGGTATGCTGGATGCATGGAAACCAGCAAAACGCTACCTAGTATCAAGTGTCAAAAAAGCCATCGATTCAGTTAATTCATCGGGAAGAGATGAGAAGCATCTCCTTCATATAGGCAGTAGTGCTAAAAAGTAATGAAAGAATCATGATGTACAAGGAAATTGAACAGGGAATCCTCTAGAAAGACAGCTTATTTTCGCTGCTATTCGCTTTAAACAAGGATCTGTTGAGCCTCACCTTTAGTACGAGGTGCCAAAAGGTGGTGGTTTCCACTGATAATGAGTCATCAATGTCGCTGGAATACGAAAACACTTCCAGGCAAGATGACGCGTAATGCTGTTACCTACGGGTTAGAAATATTGTGGGGAACGTGTGAAGACTGTGGATCATGTGGCAACGAAATCACATATATCACATTACTATACTAGAAAACATAACAAGGTGCTGCGGTGTATCCATTTCGAACTCTGCAAGAAATTTGGTCTGAATACCTGGCGCACGATAAGAAGCAGCATGAAGTGATCCCGACAGACGTTGTTAGTCAGAACAGACTCGTAGCAGTGGAGATCGAGAATAAACGAAAGTATGGTATGATCTACTGGCTAATAAACTCGGGTCAGAGATGAAATGCAGGAGGAATATAATTTTGTATCTGATGATTTGGGATGGAATTGTAACGAACTTCCATAAACGCAACGAGAAGATCAGTATATCTGATCATGTGAGGCATTTATCCATTCGATGTTTATCTATTCGTGCTCAAGAAGACGCTTGAAAGCATTTCCTTCAATCATCGTAGTGGATTCGACGAGGACGGAACAACTGAGACCAAGAGAGCAGAACTGAGCGCGGGGCAAGCACAGTCAGTGCGAAGAATTAACAATCGTGAGATATTGATTATACAAATATAATCAATTAATACAAATATTTTATAATGTACATGTATTGTTCGACTTTGCCAAGCTGCCAAGCGGTTGAGCTGCCAACTATTCAGTCGTATCGCAAAGCCGGAAAGCAGGAGATGGCAAACAAACGAGAAAAAACCGAGCCTAGAGTCAAGAATGTAAACAGATGGAAAAGAAATGAGGCTGCTGAAAAGGGCTCCGCGAAGCATACGGGAAAGCGCTCAACCAGTCTACCGGAACTAGCAGAACTGAGTGCCGGTATATATATTCATGACAGTAAAGGATTTCTGAATGGGTAAAAATAAAAAAGAAGCAAAAATATTAGTAAAAGTCTGCATTACTGCAGCCAGTACAAAATTGTCATTTTTGCTGCTTGTTCCTGCAACTAACATATTTTTATGGCAAGCATTCTTGTCCGAATCAATTTCACCAATTGCAGTAAGTATGCAAATGTGCATTACTGTAACAAAATTTCTTACTTGCAGGCTGCCTGGAACCCGATAGTTAGATATGCAATTGACGATCAATCTTGACAACTTTCCAATTATGAAATCGGTTGTTGGCGAGTGCAACAAAATGTTAGATGATAAAATGAGTGATCAAAAGTAATTTATTTACATAAAAGACAATGATGGATCACTTTGTATACTTACATAGTATTGTGAACGAATAAATAATACGGCTGTAAAGAATCATTTTTTGTGCAAAGAATATCATAATCATGCGTATACATGAGCAGGTTGTACTTGACTTGACTTCTATCAAGTTAATCCGACTTACTTACAAGTCACGCAAATTAAATGAAAAACATCAACAGCAGAAATTTCAACAATTTTCACTTGTCAAAACAATCGGGGCTAGCGTCATCATTGTGATAGAGAATGGCACTAAATAGAGTGAAAATTGAAAGCCATGTAATCAGTATTTTGTGCGCACAAACAGAAACACCCATTTCACGCAACGAATGCTCACTAAAATAGGCATGTATCACTTATGCAACAACAAAGAATAATTGTATTGTGCGAAATAGTGTTGTACAAAACACAAACAAAGAAGCTACAATATTGACGGAAAGCAATTAACGAAGTTCACGGATAAAGTGAAAAAATTGATCGATATGAGGGTAAGTAATTGTTAACAATTAACTTGATTGTTAAGTGCCGTTGACAGATAACACTAATATTACTAGTTTTATGAACGTACGTGAAACTAAAAATATCTCCAAGAAGATGCAAAACGTAAGGCCTACACACCGGTTTTTAAAAGCAGAAATTATTTTCCGCAGTTATCATGAAATGTGTGACACAAACCACTTTTATGCGACTCTATATGATGTATGGACAAGATGTTTATAGTCTCTTTTTCTCTTGTATCATTCATTTCAAGTTCGAGTTATCTGCAGCTGTTCGAATTCTTTAGTGCATAGTAACCTACTATGATATGGGAGTTCAAAAGTCAAGTCATTTTCAATTAACTCCCATTTTTTGCAGTTTGCCTTTTACTGACTGTAATAGTTGTTTCTACTCTTTCTTCCATCATTGCCAATATTTAGATTATTTTATTTTACCGTACAAAATTTCTGAGTATATTCAGTTATCGTACATTTATTATTTCTCTGAAATGAATTGCTTAAACTTAAATAAATCAATGCTATATGATTTAACTTTGCACAATTTACGTGAAAACGTGAAAAAATAGTAACCAACTTTACTCACTTTGCTAGTATTTGCGTAAATTAATTTCATGTTGTTTATATCATATAATATTAGACAAAAGAATAGTGATGGCGATGAAATTCGGGCTTGATTATGCGAAAAGAGTGGCGAAGTGTAAAAAATGTCACCATCAGTTACTAAAAGGAGTTCGTTTTCTTGTTTGTCAGTAAAATGTTGATAGAATTAATGGCATTGTATATCATTTTATTTTTATTTGAGTAAGAAACAGAAACAATGTATATCTGTGATAATTCTTAAATCTTTGTTTTTTCTTTTTGTTAATTCTTTAAATCTTAAATCTGCATAATATTATTTAAATTATTGTCTTATGACTAATTAATTTTGGCAAAAGTATGAGATTATACTCATTGTTATCAGCATCATGTGTTTATTAACTGCTTTAAGGATTTACGAATGTGGAGAATGGTACCAAATCCTTTTACAGCAGAATCAGCAAATCCTACAGAAATGAAAAACTATTTCCACTGTGACTGCCTTTTTGAAACACTCACACGATGTCGTGCGACTACTAAAGTTATCGAGTCATCGGATGACATTGACGGTTTTTTTTGCAAGACGACTTTCCTCTCTATTTTCAGTAGTAAAATAGTACTAACTTTTTTAGTTTAAAAAAAAAAAGCTTCAGGTTGGGAAAAGGCCAATGATAATGATAAAGAAGCAATTATGGAGAAAATTAAGGAATTACAAGAATTACGAGTGAAAAAGTTTGGAGATAAAGTTAAAACTTCTCAATCTTATTCTACAAAAGAAACTTTAAAACCTAAAAGTAAAAAAGTCTCAAATGAAAAATCAAAGTCAGTCGACTCAGCTCCAAAAAGAACGAAGTCAAAAAATTCAAAGAAAGGAGCCGAAAAAGATACATGTAGTGAGGTCACTGATCCCATACTGAATTCTTCGAATGATGGATTGGTATCAGACGGAGCGGATCTTACAGCGTCAGGCCAAGAAAAAAAGCATCTTCAGAGTCAGAAAGGAAGCAAATTTGATGTATTCAAGTTGTTCTGCAAACTCTGTGATGTGATTTCTTCAGTATCGAAATTCAGCGAAAAAACTGAAGCTGTCAGAATATTCATCAGTAAAGGTATTGTACTATTTTTGTATCGAATTTCAAAGTTTGTTATCTAATTGTCTTAAGAAGTTTCGTACTTCAGGTGTATTGAAAACTCTTTCCTCACTTTAATACTTACAATTTAATAGACAAGATTTCTCCACTTTTTGACAAATCAATTTTTTCAGAGATTGTGGATGAGAACACTAAGGTGATTCATTCATTTTTCCAGTATATTTATAAATATACCTGCCCAAAAGGAGGACTATTTTGTCTATGTACATAAAATACAATGGATTATGATTTTATTTAATTGATATCTTACAACATCAGATATAGCAGCAAAAACTTGAATTACAGAAGGATACGATGGTGATTTGTGTTTGTTGATTAAAATGCTCATTCCTGAAGTAAGCAACAGGATATACAACTTGAAAGCCAAACAGATGATCAAAATTTTCTCTACTGTAAGTAAATTGTGAATTGGATTGCTACAATAATGCATGAAAATTAAGTTATTGTATTGGCCAATTTCTCATCCGCTAAGACTTGGACAAGTCTATATGAAAATCAAAATTCAGATTTTGCTTCTGCAGTGATTTATTTTCATTTTAGCTTGTTTTGATTAAGATCATCTTCAAGTCAACCTTTCAGTACATCATAAGATGTTGATGAGTAGGTGGATAACTCTCTCATATGATTTAATGGAATTTATCAACTTAGGAATATTGCTTTGCTTTCATAAACATGACAAGTTTGTAAATTCGTTTCCAGTTGCTTAGTCGATCAATAGAAGAGATGACTGAGTCTTACAATCAAACAGGTGATGTATCCCAAACAATATGCCATTTTTGGTCACAGTCTGCTGAGAATAAGAAAAAATCCAAGTTAACAAATCATATGGTAAGCTAAAGATTGCCACTTACAAAAAAATTTGTGCATGTACATAATGTTGTGAGCATGTGACAAATTTCCTGTTTCCGTGCTCTCATGAATAGCAAGCAAATTATCGATCTGTTAGGCTCTTATCAAGTTCTGATTCGCAATATTTTTATTGACGGTTAAAAACTACTAACGTGGGTACTTTTGTTCTCTACCAAACTTTATTGTTTTTATTATGCAATAATACGTTGATGCGTGAGGTTTAGATAGATGATTGGTTAGAGCAGTTAAGTGGATTAACTCAAGAAGAAGACCAACAGTCTCACTTTTCCAAAATTTGTGAATTGTTAGTATTTTGTTCAAGGAAAGACCTTTATCCAGTCCAATGGTTTTTTTTCTTCAAGGAATAAGAAAGCATCAACTTTTCAAAATTTTAAGAAGAAAATGATTATCTGAAGTCTTTTACCATTGTAAATTGGTTTTCAGAAGTTTAGAAACTAATTATGTATTGCAGAGCATCTACTCTTGAACTTAAATATATTATTCGTTTGGTGATGAAAGATTTGCGTATAAATGCTGGAGCGAAGCATATGTAAGCAAATACTAACATATAGTTTATATTCTTAATTTGTTCTGGTTTTGTGATTAATTTTAGGGATTCATCATGTTAATGAGGCATGGTAACTAATTGATCGATTTCATCAGTTTTCTGTATGAAGTTAAATTCAAGACTCAAACTGTTTGCTTTGCATCATATATTCAACATATTGCAGACTAGAGGGTGTAAGAAAAGGGGCGTATCAAATGTTTCAAGTTTCACGAAACTTGGAGTTTGTAATCGCAAAAAGCCAGAACATAGCTAGTGACGAATCACTGACACTTGAAAGTGGCATACTTTTAAATACTCCTGTCAAGCCAATGCTTGTAAGTTATTGCTATAATTCTTATCTGTTCGAGATGAAGTTTCGAATGTTTCATTCTTCTTGTTTATGATGAATTAATGTTTAAATTCATTTAAAATCCATGTTTTTGGACTTTAATAGAAGCAAGAAAATGATATTGCTTGCAAATTGAAAAATGCTTCAATGTGGTTCAAATTTTTTGGATCAGTGCAGATTAATTTCCTAGTTTAAGAAAGCAAATATTTTAGGCTGCACCTTGTCGCAGTATCAAACAGGCCATGGAAAAATGCAATAAGGAAATGTACGCAGAAATTAAATACGATGGAGAACGATTACAATTACACAAAGATGGAGATAATTTTATGTTTTTTTCACGATCTCTGAAGCCAGTATTAAATCAAAAGGTTTGTTTTGTAAACAAAAATTTTTAGAATTAAAAATTTCTAATGAAATCGAATGTAACAGCTTTAAATGAGAGTGTGAATTGTTACTTTATGCTTACTTCTAGGGGCTAACAAAAGGAGATATGCTTTGTTGTCATTTTGATAGGAAAATCATGTTATTTTGACAAAATAATCATATTTTTTCAGGTGACTGATCTAAATAAAGTTGTGTTGCATGCATTTCCAACTACCAAAAATTTAATTGTTGATGCGGAAATGCTACTTTTGAACACGAAAAGTGGTAAACCTTTACCATTTGGAACTTTGGGTGTTCATAAAAGAAAGGAATTGGAGGACGCTGTCGTTTGTTTATTTGTTTTCGACTGCATTTATTACGACAATGAATCGTTAATTGAAAAGTTAATTTTGGTTATTTCGCTCTTTTTAAATTTAACAATGATTAATGACATTTAAAGGTTGCTTTGGGATAGAAAATAATTAGCGGTCAAATTCTAGCTTAATAAAAGTTTAAATGATACTAATTTCATCTCTTAAGAACTTTGCGAGAACGTAGGAAGTACCTCGAAGATAATATTAAGGAAGTGCCTAATCGTGTTCTATTGTCCAACTGTCATCTTCTGAAAAAAAATGTGAGTTTTTTGTTTTATCGCTTTTCGATTAGATTTACCTGAGTAGTAATAGACTGTGAATAATTTACTTTTTTTTGACTTTACAGGAAAGTGAAAAACTAGAAATGTTGATCTCAAAAACCATTGATGAAGGTTTAGAAGGTTTGGTGTTAAAAGACTTAGATGGTATTTATGAGCCCGGAAAAAGACATTGGTTGAAAGTAAGTTCTTCAATTTTTGACCAGTTTGTTTATTAAAATAAAACTCAGTTCAGTATGCCATAGTCGTTGTGAAACAAATTAGCTACAAAATTTCCTTAGGTAAAAAAAGATTATTTGGAAGAAGGTACTATGGCAGATGCAGCTGATCTCATTGTTCTGGGTGCATATTATGGAACAGGAAAGAAAGGTAAACTATGGACTTCTTTCCCTTTTGATAGCTTTTATTTGCGTCATTCCATTACAGAAAAATAATGTTTTTTCACCAGTATTTATGTATGTGATTTCAATGCAGTAAGCAGACATGCATTCACAAGCATAATTCCTTTTTTTGTGGAATATTCACTTACATTTCTTTGTTTGTTTGATTTTTTCAAACTTTTCTAGGTGGTATGATGTCGGTATTCTTGATGGGAGTTTATGACAAAGAAAAGCAGAAATTTTGTACGGTAACAAAATGTGGGAATGGATATGATGATGCGACGCTAGATCGCATCAATAAGGAGTTGTCACCTAAAGTAATATTTATTCTTTTGGCTTCCACGAAAGTGTTCATATTAATGCTTTATTTTTGGATAGTTCTGAAAAAGTTTGGGGATTGATTTTGAGTTAAAAGAATCCCAATATTTTTGTTAAAATATCTCTTATTTAAGATGATTAAAATATCGCAAGCTTACGTAAATTTGCCTGAATGGATTGAGTGCCCTCGATCACTTGTTCCTGATTTCATTGTTACTGATCCTAAAGACTCACCAGTTTGGGAAATTATTGGTAATTTTTGCTCCAGTATCCTTGAATCCGTGTTGTATTTGCCGTTCGCTATGGTTTTTACATGGTCATATCATAAATATTTTTATTCTAACATGCATGTAGATTTTAACAAATTTAGGAGCCGAATTTTCGCGGTCAGATACACATACGGCTTCTGGTATATCAATACGTTTTCCACGGGTAACTAGAATTCGAGATGATAAAAACTGGGAGACGGCTACTGATCTGCAGGAACTTAAGGTGATTTTGCATCCGTAATTTTTAAATCTCATCTTTATTAGAGAGTTATCTACCGTAAAGATGGAGAGATATTTGTGTCCTTTACCCCTCTTTACTTTCATTGTCAATATCGGTGAGAACAAAGGAGCTTAAAAAACAAAGACAGCTTCAATATGAAATAGGCGAATTCTAAAATGTTCACATATGTTTCATTTTTACTGTTATATCTAGTGAAATCATTCGTATTTTAGGAATTGTATGAGAAGTCACTAATTAAGACGGGCATCAGCGTCGAATGTAATGATGAGCACCTTTCTGTGAAGCAGAAATTGAGTGATCAAAACAGTGCAGAAAAAGCTTCTGTTTTGAGTAGAAAACGACAAAAAGTCTATGAAGGAAAGCGCGAAGAAGAAAGTGTTTCTGAAAATGTTCAAACAAATGACCTGAATCATGATGAAGAAATTGAAGCGAAGAAAGCAAAGTTGCCATGCAAGTTAGTTTGATCAAGTTATCATACATCTCTTATTATTTCCTTTATACATTTTTCTTGATACTCTCTTTGGCTTCTATTTTCATTTCTTGATCGAGACGTATTTTCCTAAATCATCCTTTGTAAGTCATCTATTTTGGGAACAGTGATAAAATTCGATTGAAATGTTTATTAATAGTCCACTAATTCTTTGGTAATTAAAGAATTTTCAGATATGGTGAGCAGTGTTACAGGAAAAATCCAAAGCATTTAAAGAAGTTCACTCATCCAAAATCAAACTTTTAAATCAAAAATACTTGATTTTTTCGTGAAATTTTGAATTTTCTCAAACAAGATCGCTATATTTGTATGCGAAACAAATTATAAATGACTGATTATAAATGAAGCAAAGCTTTATCATATTTGACTTCTTTGTGCTTAAGAGTAATTATTCTAGTTAGAATTTTTGTTATTGACTATTGCATATTGTGATTATGATAAAGGCGCTGTCATAATTACTGAAATTTATAGATTGTTTGAAAATACTTACTGTACATATATTTATATACTAATCGTGAGTTGTCAACTACATGAGATATTTAATTTTTTTTTCGTCAATTTTTATCAGTATTTGCAACTTACGGATAGTATCAAATGTGCTAGTGAATTAATCTCTGCTCCGTAGCTTTAATCAGTTGTTTCGTTTTTCTGTCCTTCTTTAGCAAAATAAATTGTACATATTTGTGAGAATCATGACGATATCATATGGATTATAAGATTTTGAGGAGGATTATCATTGGAGTAAACATTGACGAAATGATAGTCTTCGGCTTTATGTTTGTTAGGATGCAGTTTATCTACGCACTCAGAGAGCATGGTGATTAACACAGTAGCAGCAGCCGGTGATAGAATGTTCGACTTGCATTTTGTATTATTGGGGGTCTATTATGATAAGTTTATGTGTAGTCATGTATGAATCAGTGTTATTCTATAAGGATCTGAGAAATCCTTTGGGAAGTCGTACTGTGGATGTCAGCTTGTGGCAGACGGATATTGGCGTATTTGGATGATTGAATGTCTGTTTCCAGTGATGTACGCCGGTTAGGTGTCCTTGCGGACCAACTAGGATATGTCCAATTTCTTCATCATTTCCTGTGTTTTGGTAAACCTTAAATTCATGTGTTGTATATTTTTATGATTATTCTCTACTAAATTGGACAAAAATGTGTCATTTTATAAGGCATTTGTGTTATTTATTGTATCAAAGATTACTTTTCATCAAAATTAATTAGTAAATTTTTAAAAGTAATGTAATCTTATTACATTAGTGGTATTTAATTATCACTAATTATGATGATAGTAACTGTATCTCTATAAAAACAAAGAAAGATTAACTTTTATTTGAAGGCTGATGTCAGCATAAGTCGAAGGTACATTGAATTTCATTGTTTCTTTGAAATACATTTTTGTTGCAAAACGTTTACTGCGTGTTTCATATTTTTCAAGTATTTCACATCGATGAAGTAATTGCACACTCAGAAAAATATCTGTAAATGATAAGGTTTGTATAATGTGTTGTTAACAGAAAACAAAAGAAATATACGGTATTTAGTTTTGTGTAATTTTGCCATATTTGGTTACTCACAGCATTTATTCCATTTTTCTACTTTACAATGACCCAGTTCCGAAGAAAGATTTTTATTAACTCGTGGAGGCTTGCAGGGAATTTGATAATAAATAAGTGCAAATTTAAATTAAGCTTTCCTTCGCGTATATCTTTTTGTGCATTAGTCAGTAGAGTGAATAAATATAATCAAAAAACTTTCAAATTCAATACTTTTTAAGCATGCAAGTACTTTATCCATAATTGTAAAAGTTTTTCTGGTTTATAATTAAATAAATAAAAGATATAAAAAATGAAGAGAGAAATAAATGCAAAGACAGTAACGAATGGGTAAATAAACTTGGACTGACACTGCTATGGTTCTAATCAGTTTAATAAATGCCATGAGTAAATTTTTAACCCGAAACTGATGCAGAATATTATGTATATATATAGTTTTCAGAAAATGATAAACTGCAATAAAATTATGAAGAATCGTTAACTAGACCACAATTCTGTACTGCAGTGAGGTCCTTTACGTAAATGTTATAAACAGCTAGCACGTTGTCTTTTTTACGATACTTTAACGTTAGTAGAACTTCACCAACAGTATTCTAAAAATTTTTAAGTAAAAGTACTCAAAGTATTTATTAAACAATGAGTAAAGCATTGTTAAATTGTTATGCTTCAAAACTTGAGTTTGCTATTTTTGTGCTATCAGAGCATCAGAAATGAGCACATTTAAAGGTTTAACAACTAGTTTACACTGACTTATTACAGCATTTTGAATTATTCAGTAAAGATCATTTAATGCTTGGACATGAAATTAGGAGATGATTTTTATTAAACAAAATATCAATAAAATATGACATCAGTAGAGTTAGTAGTTTTATTATAGTTGAAGGATTTGTATTTGATTAGTACTGCAAGTATAATTTTTAAGTATATTAAGACATCAATTGATAACTTTATGATCTGCGAAATGTAGTCTGTGATATATAACTTTTCCATATCATGTAACTTACTCAAAGTATTTATTCATTCAGTATTTTACGTGTAATAGATTTGTTTATTTATTTTTATAAAAACGAACTTGTGAGAAGGATTGTATGGGAAGTGCTATTTTGGTATGAATTTGTTGCCAAACTCTTCGTTTATTAGTTATTGCTTGGGATGTGCCATCTATTGTTGCTGGGAATAGCATTCGAATAGGGTCACTCTCATTTTCGTTCTCCATCAAATGCACCAACATGGCTAATGTGTCCATTGAATCAGTCTCGTGTCCTGTTATGCGAGCACTGCCAATTATTTATGAAAACTTATGGATAAAAGTACCCTATTGCTCTTAAATTAGTATTTATTATTTTCTATTATATTTAGATTTGAAGCACAGAGCTGTTCCTTAACTGGTGCATAAGTGCTGTAATTCTTTGCTTATCACTACTAAGTTTGTTTTACTTCTAATTTTTTTCTTGAACTTTACAATTTCTCATTAAAGAGTATTAACGTTTATCAAATACTTTATAGCAAAAGTATTCATAATTATTTATTTACTTGTTTGTAAATAATTTTTACTAATTACAGAAATTATTTGCTGATAGTTTTCAAATGGAGAAATTTATTTAAACGCATTATTAAGTCGCTTTATGAAGTATGAGAGAAATATTACTTTTCCTGTAAGATATGCTTGGTGCCGTAATTAATCCACGGCGATCACATAATGATACTGATCGTGGATTACGATGAACGCGATTCTGTGCAGAATGTGTATTTCTTCGTCTATGTTGAAAATTTAAAAATTCATGGATGGAATGGACAGATGCAAAGCTGTCCATCGGATTCTGTAAGATTTTTGCATTCAGTTGCTATTATTCATTACGAGTCTATCATAATGCATAGAGAATGGTTTTAAGAGTTTGAAAAATAAATGAATAAAAACAAGTTTAGCATTCACTGTGTAAATTACTTTTTATCAGCTACATAATTTGTTTGCAATTCATTTTTTCTTTCAATATATCATTTTTAAAAGTAATTAATGGAAAAAAATTCACCGGAAGGATTGAGCTTCTTTAGAAACTGAGAACAAATTAGTGATGAAAAATGAATATTAAAAAAAATCAACCTTGTACTCGAAAATTCTTTTTAACTATTTTACAGCCTGTCACACTAAATTTTTACTTACAACATAATGTACCCAATTCTACTGAAAATGTAAATGATTACTTTGACAAATAACTTCCGGTAGTTTCTACCGTGTGCTTATATTATCCATTAAATCTTGATTATGCTTTTAATACAATGAACAAATAGTTAATGCTAACATTAGGTTTTCCGCCCAATTTAAATCTAAGAAATTCATATCTTGAAAAGATTCAATTATGCTTTAGTTATTTTGATGAAAATCAAAAGAAGAAAGCAAAAATATTAAAGTAAAAGGCATACATATTTGAAATTAACGACTGAAGCAGTGTCAGCAAATGAAATGATAAAAGAGAGAATATATTTATTCATACAAGGTGTTGGTAAAAGTAAAACGAAGTGCAACAAATACAGTAATTATCAAAATATTATGCGACATCTATGGACTATGGAAGAAAAACTTGATCTCGTCAAGACTTACCGTTGTAATATCTATATCTTACGATCAGTTCGGAATCGAAGTGAATTTGCAAACTAAATATTTTTTAACACATAATCATTTCATTATCAAAAAACAAACTTTTCTGAATATATATATATAAAGTAAAAATTATGCTAAATTTTAACGAATTAGTAGGAAGGAAAAGTTTGATTTTTAAAGCATATTTTACCCGAAAAGTTATGTTTAACGAGTCACTGCTAACTGATTACCTTGTTTTTCCCTGCAACTTTTGTCAATTTTTATTCACAAATTATTAGCATGATAAATGCTAATGATAACTTTGGGGAAAAAAAATGATATAATACAATATTTTGGATATCGATAAATAAAGATAGAAAAATTTTGGCACAAATAATATTTCAGCACTGATATACATGGATGAACTAGCATATTCTTCCTAAAATTTATTCCATAGTTGAAAAGCAAACTATTTTGATTAAATTTTTTTTCATGATGTTTTGAAGGAAGAAAATCTATGCTTGTAAAAGATTGATGCAAAAAAAGCAAGAAAAAAAATGCTGAAGGAAGTAAAAGTTTATGCTAGCAATTACCAGAAATGTATATAAAAGTATCAAAAAACTTTTAGTATTAAAATTGTTGATGATTAAAACATTAGCACCATAATATAAAATAGTGAATAACACTGCATTGTTTCTGTTCAAAAAAATTCTCTTATCTCAAAATAACGCAAGAATTTATTTACTCAGTGCAAATGCATTGTAAATGTAATTTAAGTAAAATAACGGAAACATTCTGAATTCAATTCAATTCACTGCAATTGCTGTTAAATAATTTAATTTCAATTATGCTATAGAATATAAAAAAGTAAAGTGAAAGGTATTAGAATTTTTGAATTACTAAAAACGTTTGAAAATCTTCTAGCCGGCAAAAAAAACTAAAGAATTTATACAGAGATAGCTTCATGAAGTGACTTCAAATTTAATGAAGAACATGAATGAACGAGATGTTGACACAAAGGTTTATTTACTTGCAACAGTATAAATAAATTTTGTGATATTCTTGTTACAGCTAAAAATTGGAAAATTTGAATGTATGTTAATGTAAATTATGTTGATGCAACATGCTTATGTTAATGATTACAAATAAATTAATATTTGAAATTCACTTTTTCAATAAAATATTTGTTTAAATTGCATTTATTACTATATTCAGCAAAAACACGTGTAAATAAAACAGAAATATTTACACTTTGTGGAATCTAAAATCAAAATAAATTTGCTTAACTCTTGATGGAAAATGCAATAATCTTATCGATGTTAATAAGAGGCAAAAAATTTAAGTTGCAAAGCTTGCATATTAGCTGATACCCACGCATAAAAAGTAGTAAATGTATATATATATAACAAAACGAGTACTTGATCTTTGACTGCATCCAAATTTAAAATAAAGACAATTTTAGGATATTTTCGGGGATTTGTTTATTTTCTGTTTGTTTTGATGGGAAGTAATGGGCATAACAGTCGGTATTGTTATTAATTGTTGCTTAAATATTGTGCTATTTCATTTCAATTAACTTTATTCACTTTTCAATCTATCTTCACTTCATTTATTTTGTTTTATTTCTAGGTTTTACAAATAAATATCCTATCTAATTTTACTACATAAAAAATTTTTAGATTCATTATTATCACTATATAAGCATTTATCACTATATATAAGCATAGATTTACAGCACAGTACTTACAGTATATCGCATAATCATCTGAAATAATTTAAAACTTCGACAGTAATTTATATCTCTACTAGGATAAGATTACTGTTAGCAGATCTGAATGTTTGATGAGTAATTATCATAGTATGACTTTTTTTTATTAATTTGCATGAAGTACTATGTGAAGACTAAATTTTGTCCTTGTTGCAGAGTAACACTGTATTATGTAGAAGCAAAGCTGTAATTATTGTTGTAGTTCGTAGTAAGATATTTAGAGTGAGAACTAAATATTTAAATTAATTAAAAAGTGTACAAAAATTAAGAAATCTTCGCCCAATTAAAGTGTAATAAGTTGATGATGGTACCAAATATTTTCATAATTTTGAAATTCAATTTTCCTACTATAACAACCAAAAATGATTAGCAAGAAAAATATTACTGCATGATAAAAGTTGCGCACAAATTTTTTGGCAAAAAAAGGCAAAACAAAAAAAAATAAATAAAAATTACATTTAAAAATTTGCAATGAGTGCATTGTTTCAACAAGCAATATTCAAAAAATTTTTCAATATATGCAGTTGAGAAAACATACTGATTTGTTGTAGTTAAAAGTTGAGGATTTTTCGCAACAAAAAATAACAGCAATTAAAGAAATTTTTCAAATCTTTTAATGCTAAAGCTTAAATTAGTCAAACTTAAAGCTGAATATATTCAAATATCGCGCAACATTTTCTTTGCTTGACATTTTCAAGCATTTTTAACTAATATAACAAGTGATAATAATGATAATGACATTTGCTGCTTTCATTAATATTTGATTTGTATTGCAATTTACTGATGAAATCAAATTTTACAGAAATCGCAATTTTCATTAAATTGATTAATGCAAAAAAATCATTAATAATCAGTCATTAAGATCGTTTATATACTTTTAATATTATTAGAATATATCTATAAATTTTTATTTTGTTATTTACTCCTTTCATCACGAAAGTTCTCGTTGTTTCTCGTTTTTATAATAAATTTATTTATTATCAACGTTTCTTATATCTATCGATTTACTTATGATTACCACTAAATTATAAAGAATAAATAATAAGCAGTAGAAGAAACTGCTTGCATACATGAACGAGAGCTGAGAGATTCAAAATCGTTAAAACCATATTTGTTTGATTATTTTGTCACAAATTAAAAACAAATTTTCAGAATTACTTTTCAAACTTTAACTTTTTCAATTGTTAGATAATTCGTTTTCAAATTTTAATTATTTTGTCAAAAAATTTGATTAACTTTAAAGCATACAAATGACAATGATTACAATAAGAAATGCTTGCTATGTGTAATAATATATATTACTCAAATTCGTGCTAAATTTTGATAAATTTTGCAATTTTATCTTCTTTTGGCGAAATATTTTTAAAAAGTTATTCATACGACAATGCAATATTTTGAATTCATTTGCAGTGAATCTTTTATCATATGAACAAAGTGGACCAAAACCAATTTAGTATCTTGCAAATCCTTTTCAGTTCTTTAATATTTAAGTATGTGAGAATAGCCAATGAATATTAAATACTTCAACGATATTTCAGAATTTTATTTCAAATTTTAAAAAGGAAATGACACTCAAAACAAACTCTTCAAAATTTTTTTTCAAATTTTGCTTAAATTTAACAAAGTATTTATGAAAACATTAGAATAATACAATTTATGCTAAAATTTTATTCTTATTGCCATATATTTTTATGGTACTCTTCAGGCAATTTATAATATCTTTGTAGGATGTAGCGTTACTTTCAGTAATGCCAACTTGTCTGAAATGGCAAATTACATTGTCAAATTAAGTAAACTTTCTTGATAATTTTTGGAATAATTTTAATTTTTTTCAGGTGAAATTTTGCAGTTTAAAGGTTTCAAAGATCAAAAATATTTGTTTGTATAGTGAAATCACACAGATTATTGCTCTAAACGAAAATCATTTCATTACACTTTCCACAAAAGTTTTTTGCAAACTTTGCAATCGCTGTTTCGCTCTGTGCCTTAAAAATTGCAAAGTATTTTTAAAAAGGAAAAAAGCAAATTTTTGTGCAAATAAGCAAACATTTTTATGAAATAATATAAAAATAGAATAGTAATTTTGAATTTGTTAGTAATAAATAATCACTGCACAAAGTGTTATCACTTTAGTCGTGGCATAATTTGCTGATCAGCAAATTTTAAGTCAAATGCTTAAAATTAAATGAACAAATTAAAATGTAAGAATAAGTTGACTGATTTTAAACAAGTGACCATCAAATATGGTTAATATATGTTATGATATATATTTGTTGATATTGCAAATATTTGAAAAATTCAGCAGTTCATAGATTCGTTTAATATCAAAAATGCATTTTAAGTTAATTGATAAAATTCACGGATACTATTACTTGTATACTAATAAAACTGTAAAAAATTATGCGGAAAATGATATTTATTGCAAAAATTTGCAAACAATAAATTAATATTATAGATCAAACAAATGG